TTTTTTTTTTTTTTTTTTTTTTTTGGCTAAAATTAGTAGGGCTGGTGAAAATTGAACTACAGATAAAAATTGCAGACTCTTGGTTAAGCTTTAGATCCAAATTGATAAGATTGAAAGCTTTTAGTGTTCAAATTGATAGAGGTCAAAATTGGTTTTTCCTTTTTTTTTTTTCTTTTTTTTGGGTTAAAATAATTATAATTCATATTTCTCTTTTTGTTTCCAGACGCTGGTAAACTTTGCATCTGGAGGTTGTGTAATTGGTATCCCTCTGCTATATATAATGGCAAGTCTAACCTTGATTCACTGTGGGAAAATGGTTTGGAGAAGATTGATGGAAAGCCGAAGTAGCCAAGGTAGTCGGTAACATCGTTAACCCTTCTTCTGCAGTAATATTGCTAACCAGCATCTTGAAGAAGGTATCTTCGAGAGAACATCTATTCCCCATGTGTCTTCGTCCATTATTCATTCGGGAATCTGCAAGTGAAAACACCCGTATTTTTCGATGAACACGGTGAACTCGACTTTATAGCCTATGGAAATGTCATTTGTTTCTTCTGAACAAGAACCCAGCATTAACATGATAACACATTTCTTAAAAGTATTGATTATATTTCTGTATTACTTATGGTTTCTTGAACTGTCGACTCAGATTTTGTGCTGAAGGCAAAGGGTATTGGCTGCAGCCTTCACTCAAAAGGTGAATGATTCTGCTATGGTCATAAACGAGACGACCGAACAATGCCTAAATGGATAAATACTTGAAACCACATGTAATAGACTCACACATTGGTTTTTAGATTTAGAATTCTTTTTTGTTAAATGACCGAACACCACAAAATTGGTCTATAAATAACTGAGAAAAAACAGACATTACATTGGAGCATGTGTTGAGATAAATATTTGAAAGTTGAAGGATTAAACTTAAAATTAATACAAATTTGGACCTAAATAGGTTTTTAAGCTAAACTTTACAAGTTTTAACAAATATTGACAGGTGAACAGATCACAAACAATGTATCTTGGTAGGATGGCATCATTGTTCTTAGCTTCATATAGATTTCTAGTTCTCGTTTAGCATCAATATTTCATTTTTAAAATATTATAAATATCAATTAAGTATTTTAAATTATAGATTTTTTATTCAAAGAAAAAAAAATAGAATTATAGTTTCTTTTATTAATTTAAGTAATCATTCTAAACATACTTCATATTCTTCAATTATTTCAAGGAGTTTAGATGAGGCAGGATATCAAACATGCACTTAAAAAAGAAATTTTAATTTCGTCAAAATGTGGCATCTACCCATTTAATTTCGAAAATTTAAATACCGACCTATGTTACATTTTAAAAATTTTCAAAACCATTAAATATAAAATAAGAAGTAGAAGAAGTAATATTTAATTAATTAGAATCCTCGAAATACACCAGAAGAAGGTAAGACAAAATGTGGAAGTACATTAGGTTATATTGGGAATGATAGAGAAACTAGAATGGCATTATTTGAACGCTAGTACTTAATACTTATAATCATAGCAGTTGGTTCATCAAAGCAGCAGCAGCAGAGCAAGTGAAAGCTACATTTTTGGTTTTTGGGAAAACACATATTTGTTGTTAATTTATACTGCCAACTATTTACATTCAAATCATATTTGACATTTCCCTCTCTCTCTCTCTCTCTCTTAACCAAACACACATCCCTCCCCCCTCCCTCTTCTTTTTTTTTTTTTTTCTTTTTTCTATCTTTCTCTTTTTCAAATGGACTTGAGAAAATAATCAACACAAAGAAAAAAAAGGGTCTGATAAACACACACCAAATCAGACATTTCCTTTCCATTTCTCCTCCTTGTTGATTACTTTCTTTCTCTACTTCAGTTGAAACACCAGAGGTTTTTCTCAATGGTGTTGTTGATGGCACATCTCGCATGTGCTACTAGATTTTGTGTTCACAAACGTACAGTGTTCACATGACCAATGAGTTGCAGCATTATCGCCACTTCTGGTTGAGCTCCCGATTCGACTGATTCCCTTACCTCGTCCGCTTCTCCCTCCTTTACTACTTCCTGCTGTGTTTTTTGAGCTCGTTGTGCCGCTGCTTGCTCCATGAGAATTCACATCCGAAAGCCCATTCTCTAATGCTCTAACTAGGTTCTCAAAGTAATTTCGAGTAACACTGTATGTGGCGAACACAAAAACGCGAGTTTTAAAATGTCATGTTATGCGCTTATATATTGAAATAAGAACTGTGTTTATGAATGAGCCTTCATTTACCTGGTTAGACCAGCAAGCTTTGTGCGGAAGTCATTAAATTCTTTTGATGGACCTTCTGCACTGACGAACTGGAGCAATTCCTTTTCGGCGCATTGATGGAGCCTTTCTAATCCCGACTCGGCCTCACCTGCAGGAGAAGTAAATATCGATTTTTTAACATCCATACCATAAAGAAAGTGTGTGTTCCTTGGTACCGCGAGAATGCAATTACCTTGCAAATACTCAAAAAACTGTCTCTTGGCATGCTCCTGTTCCGGCAGGTAATATCCATATGAATAAGTCCATTTCAAAACTCGTCTACATTCAATTATCTGCAAATAGTCACAAGATAATAAGGAGGTTAAAGGATGATTGGCCTAAAATAATATTCAAAATGTAGTTTTTCTTCCTTCTAACTTTTTCTTAAAACTATTATCAATATCCTTTAAAACTCAATCTGTAACTATAATTCTATAAAATCATGAAGATCCTTGAGTTATATAACTTTTTAAAATTGTTACACAATATGAAAGTCTATTACAAGAACGTAAATCTAAGCACCAATAAACCAAAGAAATCTGATGTTTCATAGTTGGATAGTTTAGTACATGCCTGTAACCAAGCCTCTGTTATGAACTTTAGCTGAGACTCAGGAGTGCAGTGTATATCACTGAGCTTCTCAATCTAAGAAAGAACAAGAAATAAGAATCATTATCCCAATATTTAATAGGGCATAAAGAAAACAAGAGAAATCAGTATAATCACACATGCATATGGAAACTAGAGGTTCTTGTGATTCCATTTTTTTTCATCCACCAGCAACCAAAACAATACATATCATTCAAAAACTGAAGATGGGTATAAGACGGTTCTAAACATCAAAATTATGAGAATTAGTAATCCAATAGCTCGTTAAAAACAAAAAGTTAATTAAAATATAAACTCACATGCACATTCTGCATTTGATGCAAATCTGCTATTGCTTTTTGCCTAGACTGTAAAGGACAAAGAAAGCATAACGTCAACAAGCAACAAACAAAAAGTATTAAAAATAAAACGGTTTGAACAATGTCAGATTCTATGAAAGAGATCAATAGTTTACCCAGCAGGTTTAAATGAAAAGAATCAATCGACTGAACAGACAAACACGAGAAAATGAGACATACACACTTAGGAACCAAATAAATTTTAATAGACCTCAACAAATTGGCTTGGACAAGAAGAAAAAATGATGCATAAAAACCTAGTCAACAAGGTCTGTCCATCAAGGAGCAAAAAGAAAACCTTCACAGAGAAAAATTTTAGGAACCACTTGCAATAAAAAAATTAAAAAAAAAAAAAAAAAAAAAAAAAAAAAA